AATGGTCATAATTTATCTAAAATAACGTTATAAATCTAAAATTGACGCCATGTAACTATACATTTATTTTTACCATTAATTTTAGGGATACTCAGGCAAAATTAATGACAAAAATATTTTTAAAAAATGATAAAAAAATTAAGATGATCTTATGAACTCGTATCACGCTAAAATGACAATTTTAAAAATCAAGCATGAATTTCTGTATTAAATTCTACATATTTTGGATTTGAAGCGTATCTTTATCTATATATGTTTAACCAAGAGAATCACCGAGTAAGTTTAAAACAAATTATGTGACTTGGAACAAAACCCCCGGAAGCTACAATAAAAAACATTGTGAATATTGTATATTTGAAACAAGTCTAAGTCATTCATTTGACATGTTCTTGAACTCCATAACAACTAATGTGAAATCTTAACACTTAAACTTGACCCACGTAGTCATTTATACTTTAAAATGGAAAAAATATGCTCCTGTGACAGCCTAATGTATTCATTTTGAGGACATTAAAATAATAATGAATGAAAAATTGAAACAAAGAAATAAGAAATAAGCGTATTGTTTAATTATCAAATAAGATATTATAAATTCCGCCATTTACCTGGACATATGTTCGTATAGCTAACATATTCTTTATCTAAACTCTCAATGTAGGGAAATTTGTAAAATAAGAAACCGTCACACGTCCTCATCTCAACTGTTACGTTCATTAAACAAGCGTCTGTCTGATTGTGAATGCAAGCGTCTACTCTCTGAACTTGATCTCCAATTTCGTCTATGCTTATGTGTTGTTCTGTATTAGATAGTATTCTTATTAGATAGTATTCTTATGTATAAATAGTGTCAGGGTCAGTCAACGATATAGTTAATCAAAGAACTGTATAGCCCGAATCATCATCTCATTGTTTATGATTTTTTTTTCAATTATTGCAAAGTCATTAACAAAAACCATACAAACATACATAAAAAGCTATTCTAATGTAGTATGTACCGGACAACATGAATTGCAAGGTAAAAACACCTTGCGACATGCTCCCATTTGGACCGGGTATTTTTGTAGACACGAATATATTTTTTTATTCTAAGAACTCGTTGGAATATCAAAAATAATGTAACACACCAAAGATTGGTTTAGTACTTGATATAATTCGTTAAAAATGTTTAAAGTTTTACTGTCTGGTTTAAACATAAAAAACGTGGTAAATTATATTTAGAGTCCGAGCAGGAGCGCTTTATCCCGTTATCAGGTAAAAGTTTAAAGATTTTTTTAATTTTATCTTGTACTAAAGCCAATCCTCTGTGCGCCTCATTTTTTTGATTCCAGGAATTTCTTAGAATAAAGATATATTTTACCTTTGAATCGACAAGATCTTAAGGAACAACAACAACAAAACCCAGTCATTTTACAGGTGCTCTATGACGTAGTATCCTACTATTGAATATGAACATGACCGGTGTAATAAATATTGTGATGTACCTGATAATGATAAGTAATACTGCACAGCAGCTCGATACGGACAGTGCTCATCAACGTTTCCAATCCATGGTATCTGGACATGACCTCCCCAGACAGACATGTTATACCACCTACTGTTGTTCTGGTAAAGTTCGAGTATAATGTGACCTTTTAGTTCATACTCATACACTGGACTAAGAGAACAAGTGTCAACACCTACAAAACATCAAATAAGGTGACCAAGTTAAGTGGATGGCAAAGAAATTTAAAAGTGCCTAAGCTATCTGTCGTATAGGATAATTCATTTCTACTTATAAAAAGCTCCCGGTGGTGAATATATAAAATTACTCGTAGATGAATATACTTTACTTTTCAGTTTTTACACTTAATGCATTATTAGCGCTTTTCATTATTACTTTTAAATTATTAAGTAAAGATAAATCTATACTTGTCTATAAATACATAAATCTTTGAAGTAATGAATTTATACTTAAACACTATTATAATTATGAAATTGTTATTATGGAAATTTATTTTACATATTATATTATAACATATAAACTCTGCTGAGAATATACTTATATTAATACATGGAGAAGAAGAATCTTTATTTTGCAAATTAACTCTCAAAAGAGTCATGTACAAGCATTCATAATATATACAATAACATGTATGCATAAGTAAAGAACTAATTACATAGCAAGATAACGTGACTGCAAGTATTTCTTTTCTTTCATTATTATAATGGCTACCATTGATTATATTTTTAATTTACAAGTTATTTACATTTTGAGAGATTCTACATTCAAATATATAATAATAAGAAATACTTCGTGTATGTATTAGGCTTGCAATCACGGGAGAGACATTGTCAGCATCTATTACATAGTATACTTTTAATTCTCTACCATACACTGGTCTTCTTGTTGCTGGGTCATATGGGGGTTGCGTTCACTGAACGCCGCCTTTCCTTGTTGATCTTGTTTATCATATTATTTGTATTACATTTACTAATCTAAGCTGTATTATTTTGATTTATTGCAATAGAAATATGGCACAAAATATCGAAATTATTCAAATAAAACAAATGTTACTTCTAAACTATACTTTGAACACAGACACGTGTATGATTTGAAACTTACAAATTTATAGCCTTTATAATCATCGTGTTACTTAACCTATTATACATATAATACACAAAGAATTGCAATGTATCAATAATACATCTATATACAATTACATGACAGCTAATACATGTATAATACTTACTTCAAACTTTAGTGAATATATAAATTTACTGATATAATACATCATACAAACTTTAATGAAAATATATATATACTGATATATTACAACATATAAACTTTGGTGAAAATGTATCTATACTGATTTAATACATTATACATACTTTAATGAAAATGTATCAATACTGATATCTTACATCATACAAATTTTAATAAAAATGCATCTATACTGATATTTTACATCATACAAACTTAGATCAAAATGTATCTATACTGATATATTACGTGATACAAATTTAAATGATAATGTATTCATACTGATATATCATTAGTTATAAAGATCGTTGACAGGTTATATGGCCCTATATAAACGGCTGTTTGTAAATATAACCCGAGCCGCTAGGCGAGGGTTATTTTTTTTTTATTTTTTTTTTTAATGCGTTTATTTAAGGTCGCCGCTACATGTAGTATACAGATTATTGCTATATATCTACATGTAGTATACAGATATATTGCTTTATATCTATATGTAGTATACAGATATATTACTATATATCTACATGTAGTATAAAGATATATTGCTAACACATATATACAGATATATTGCTAACACATATATCTACATGTAGCGTACAGATATATTGCTACATACAAAATTTAAAGATGTATTTTACTCACATATCATTACAATGACCCGTTCACTTACCTTTGTAGAAACAAAATTTTATAGCAATCAGAATGATAAAACATCGTGAATAATTTCCCATATTTCTCATGTTTGTCGAACTTGGTCTCTTGTGTCACACACAAATGTGAATTAGGGAGTGGATTTTCGCCTGTTTTGCAATCTATTTCTATAACAAGAACTTTATCATATGTCAACATAATAAATATGTTATGTGATATAACAAACTACTTTGGAAAGCAGCTTGATTTAAATCGTCGTAATCTTTCACTTTAATAGCTTTTACAATATGAAATGACTTTTAAAGTATTTTTTCACGTCATAAACAAGCGTTTTATAATATCTTTGAGTGTTTTCACGTGATATTTATTTAGGTCAATTATTATTTTATATTGTATGTTTACGTTTATCCAGATACATGTCTATAGTTCATATATGTGTTTAAAATGCATAGAGGTAAGATATTTTAAGGTAATGCTTGACTCTTTTTACAACCCTATAACATGGATTTCGTAAACTATACTAGGCAAAACTTATTACTCACTTCTGTATCAAATACTCTGCATACTTTATTGCTGCGCACCCACAGTCTCGGAGTTATTTGTGGTTACAATTTTTTTTGTCAATGGACCCGATTTTGATCAATTAATCCCTTCGATTTACAGTAAAAAACAAAATTTCCTTCCACTATCTATCATGTTAAGCCATACATCGGTTACGGTGATACTTAGCATGTCATATTAATGAATGAGAACGGAAACAAATTTCGAAACTCAATCACTGGGAAGGCGGTATAAAAGACAAAACAAAAAATAAACTTAAATTCGGAAATTTATTTCTTACATTTGTATCTTCTACAGGAAAGCAATAATTATTTTGTAGTGCGCAGTGGTTTATGTATGTATTTTATTGCTGCGCAAGAGTGGTTACATGAATTCGAAAGCTATACAAAAGATAGATGACCATAACATTGTGAAAATCCGAAAATCTATTTATAGAAGTACATGTTGTTTTAGTTTTGAGTCTGAAATTGTTTTAGAAAAGATATTTTAAAAATAACTTGTCGGACAAAATTGACTGCAAAAGTAACTCTACTGAACAGAGACTTAAATAACAGATAAAATACAGCTAGATGTGAGCTTATGTAAGAAAAACCAATGCGTAGTCTCCCTTCACCATATGAGTGTATTTGATTTGTCTCCCATTATTAGACGCCGCGTGCACGCTGCATCTAGTAGATATGCATTCGTCTACTCAGCAATGGGGAATAAAAATAAAAATAATCAACATTTAAGTTTAAAAAAACAGATTAACTGAGTGAAAAAAATTCGTTTATTTTAAAATGTGTCACAAATATTTGCAATAGGTTAATTTGAAGGATTGTGTGACGAGTGTTTTCTTTTGACTATATTTTTTTATTACATTTAGTGGTTCTATATCTAGATTCCAGGCAAATATCAATCTTGTGTTTAATCAAGTAGTTTAATATTTCATAAATGAGAAAACAATATGTAACTAAGAATTGATTCTATTTAACAATTTGTTCATAACTATTATTTGATATTACAGACATATATTTTTGCTATTTGTAAAATAGAAGAACAATTCAAAATTATTCGAACATTGTGCAATTCGCACTAATATTCAAATAGACATATTCTTGGCGCAACGAAGATATTTTTCTGTACCTTTCTCTCGAATTTATTCTAAGTAAACCAAACATTTCAGCAACATTTGTACTTGTTGTAATCTGTATTTGCCTCAAGCATAATAATTTCGGGTATTTAACTAAACAATTTGTTTATATGCACAATCGAAACAATATTGTTTTATTTAAATTGTAAAGAAACGCTCATGGGAATGCACAATTATATTATAAACATTTTCTTCCCAATATGATTGCGACCAATTATTTTTGTTAATGCATATTATTAAACATTAACCTATTTAATGATCAACATTATTTTTTCAACCAAAAACAAGGCATTTCACTAAATCACCGATAGCTCCGCCCTTTCGCTCTGCAAGATGTCTACACCTTGTCAAGTTTCTAACATTTAACATTTAGATAAGCTAAATAAATGACCCTATCAAGAAATAATCAGGCACATTTTTTACTGAAATGTCACAGAATTTATACCTTTATCTACAGTAAGACTATATGCTAAAAAAAATAGCGAGGAAAAAGATGCAATTAGGTAAAAACAATGGAGTTAATGAAATGTGTACATCCTTTATAAATAAATGGAAAATGTGAGAAAATACATTAGATTAATAATTTATACAAATTCGTTATTAGCTTTAAGTTATTCACTAACATTTAAAATCCCTATTGATTTGCTCATTTGTGTCAATTTAAGTTTACAGGTGGAGGGGTCCATTTACAATGAGTTTTCCAGCCAAAAAATGTAATAATTTTATAATTAATATCAAGGATTGTTACTGCAGTTCATTTCGATCAACTGAAAGAAAATTATGTTTTGGTTACTTTTTCTAGAAAAAAAAGAAGTTTAAAACAGTCAGCAATTTATAACAGACATTCTTCTAAGAGTTAAAATGATATAAAAAAATTACTATGTAATTTGTCTCTGCATGCACCACATGTATTATATATGTAATAAATTAATTGATTGTATCCTCACATTTAGAAACACCTGACCTCGCTTAATTGTTTTTTACGTTGGCTTTGTTTTGCTAACATAGATATTATACAATTCAGAGTGCAAATCACACCTCTAACTCCTCCCTAATATAATGCATTACTGAAATTTGTTAGACTCAGGTTAGACGACAGATTAAGTAAATTTTATTTAGTTAGTACACATTAACCAATGTTAGACTTAGCAGAAATGTGAAAAATACTACAATGTGATTGGACAAAAAATAATGTTGATCATTAAATATTGTACTGTACTTGTGTATCTGATATACATCTAGGATAGAAATGACCTATTAACTGCAACTTTTACTTTTATCAGAATTAGAATGTTTTTTATAATTATATTACTAATGTGAATAAGAACATTAAATATAAAGATAAATCATTTGAAAAAGAGAAAAAAAAGAATCTGTAAAGAACGTCCAAAACGATTAACTGAAAATGTGGCAGGCCCGGTTTGCTCAAGCCCTTTTCATGGACGTAACATGCAAGTTAATGTTTAAGTCTCCTAGCTTAAGTAGTATTCATCATTTAAAAGTGAAAACAGGATATATGAATACATTTAAAACGTTAATTTAATTAATTGAATCACCAATAAATCAAGAATATTTCGCATAATCGTACATTAAGTTTGAATAAAACATTCCATCTACATCCTAGATAGTCATCATTTAAAAATCCTTAATATTAATTAATGTTGTAATTGAGGTTGTTACCACACTTAAGTGAAAATTTACATATGTATATAATTATGCTTTGAAAACAATTTTCAAACATCGAAGGATATGTAAAATATGTACTTAACATATTTCTCTACAATATATGTAATAATTAAAGTATATGCATTCATTTCTTATTAAAAATTTGACTTAGACTTTTTGAAACATAAATTTTAAATTACATCCCTTCATTAATTTGAAATGTAAATTCGCTAATATTTTTTTTCGCTTATAATGCTTTTTGGAACTATTAATATTGATAACTCATTTGAGCATTATATTTATTATATAAAACCATAAAGAATTAAGTTACCAGATATTTAGAGCTATTGTAAAAACATGTACATAGATTTAAATCTTTATTTCAACTCATTCCATTGTATCATGCCATAATGAGACAAACATAAACACAAATACACAGTGAGACATGCAAATTGATAGCACATATGTTATACAAATAAGTAAAATGTGGGAGAAGTTCACTAGTGCAAATTTACATATTTTACAGAACACTTGAATATTGTATATATTATATCAATGACACTGTTACAAAGTCACACTTTAGAAATGTCATTTAAAAAGCTTTTTCTCCTTCTTAAACGCTAGGTTTGCAACTTCCCTACAATATCTTTAACAATAAACATTATTTTCTATATTTCAATATAATTTTTATAAGCCCGAAGCATATCGGCGTATAATACTGTGCACCTGGTCGTCCGTCCGTCTTTTGACAGTTTTTGTGACTGGTTTGTATCTTTTGAGCCGATAAAAGGAAATATAAACCTGGAAAATGTTAACAATAATGAAACGGTATGCAGGTTCGACCTTCTTTAGGTAAAGGTCAAGGCAACATCGCTCTGTACCTTTAGAACCGATACAAAGAAATTAAAACCTTTTGGCAGAAATATATTTCTTATCATGACACGATGTGCAGAACTATGGGATTCCATGAGATCAAAATTGGTGCCATCACGGAGATTATTTGATTTCTATAGATTTATATAAAAAACGATTTAAATTTAATAATGTGAAAATACAATTCCAATAGCTGAGATATTTAGCATGTAGTATTGCTTTATTGACCTTTATACAACTGAATTGAATCATGCCCCATGGAGCAATATTGGCCGAGCCCCGGGTCACTTGTTTTATAAAGACTTATACCGGAGATCGCATCTGAGACTTATTGTGTTGCATTACGATGTCAAAGATAATATATTTGGCATTGGCATGCAACATCACTTAATGGACTACAAAATTACTGGCATTAATCATACCCCTAGGATAAATATTGGGCCCGCACCAGGGTCAGTTAATTAATCTAGTTTAATATAGCAAAACATATTTAAGATTTTATTTTGGTAGAAATACAATACCTACATTTTAGATATTTGACATGCAACATTACCTTATTGGCCTCTACAAAACTGTTATTAATTTTGCACCCTTTGATTCGTATCGGCCCTACCCTCAGTTAATTAGGATATACTAAAGTTTTTTTATCATAACACATGTACTTGAATTATTTACAAATAAGAAAGAATAAATATAAGAGGATATCTTTCATTCGTGTTATGTTGAAAAATAAACGTTTTGTTTAAGTTTATAGCTACTGTTTAGATTCACAGATGGAACGTTTAGTGTTATTTTCAAATACATGTATGTTTGTCATTCATTGAAAAACTTTGGTTTCGGAAATTCTTAATTGGTTACCATAGCAAAAGATTATTTAGTGTAGCGTTAAAAAGCATGTGCGGTGTATACATGTATAAAC